GACAGTGGTAGTGGTATTAATTTTTTTAAAAAATCTTTGTGTTTAGCTAAATACAGTAGGCCACATTCCACTAGCCACCATCTCATATAGCTTTATCTAGCTGCAAGGAAGGCTGAAAATGTGTTCTTTACTTGGCTGGACATAAGCCCAACTAGAACTTCCATTATTTTAGAAAGAGGAGAAAATTTGAAAATAACTTAATTTGAAAATAATTCACTCAAAAATTAAAATTATGTTTTTTTTTTCCACTGTAATAATTGCAGTGGCTTGCTCCTGTTAAGAATTATTATTATTGGCTGATTATTCTATATCTGACTTTGGGTACTTTTTTCAGAAGCAGCAGTAGACCAGAGACTAATTTGTGGGTTGGCTTCTTCATATTTTTGGATGACTGAAAGCCTTAAATATTAGCAATAACTCACTTCTCATAGAATTAGTGCTATCTATCCAGACCCAGCCTTGCTATAATAATATCATAATGTTTAATGTTCTCAACAGACCAGACCTGAAAGACTATTCTTAAAATGACCCCTGTTTGCTAAGTTAAACTTTCCTTTGGTAAGAAAAATAATGATGAGGTTAAATAATGAATGAGCTAAAGATTAATCTGTAAAAAGGGACACCTCTATTTCTTTTCTTCCCACAAATGCCTCCTAACTTTGAAATAAAGCAGCTCTATATTTTGATAATTCTGAGTTCACCAGTTCCTTTCTTTTTATCTGTTGTTTATCCAGTTACTTCCACCTTGTTCCTCCAGCTTCCCCTCCACTCACCCAGAAATACGAAGGCCAATGAAACCTTGTTTGCCCTGTCGTTATCCTTCAAGGTGGTTTATCTCTCCATTTCCTTCTGGTTAAATGAAATAGGACATTAAAGTTACATTTCTTTTGATAGAGGAAAAGTGTACCTGCCTTTCTTTTGAGAAAGGCAGGTTGGCAATAGCTCTGGTCATGGGCAGCCCTGACTCCCAAACATCTCCTGCTGCTTATGTGTTCTGTGCAGTTTACTGGAACGAACCGGCGCCGCAGAGGCCGCGGGCCTCTCAGCCCAGAGCCCAACTGCTGCGACACCAGGGGAGGCCCTCACTGGATTGTTTTGACTTGGCAAGATCACTGGCTGAGTTGAAATAATGCTTCTTCAGCCCAGTCTCTTGTGTCTTGCCAGTAACACCAGTGAAAATTTTGTGTGGGAGAGTCTAGTAATTGAATTTTATATCACCCTCTCATATTACCAATCTTCCTAAATCCCTATTTTTGTCTCCATCATCATTATTTAATTTCCTTTCAATAGTTGACTTTGGATCTGCATTAATTTATTGAAATCCTGAAATCCTTCTTACATTTACTGTTAGCCAGTGCAACCTCTTAGGGGCAACATGTTTACTGTCAAATACATTAAAGTACTCTGTCTTCATTCATTCTCTGGAGTATCTCCTATAAATTACAAAGAATGTCCTCTAGCTAAGACATTATGGGATTTGGGGAAATAAGCTCATCTCAAGCTTTCACCACACGATATTTAAGCAGCTGCAAAGACGAGGAAGACAAAGCTGCCAGGTCATCCCCTGGAAATCCCAAGACACATATTTTTAACATTTGCATTCTTATTTACATAAATTTGTATGCTCCATTCAAAAGGTGCTGACTTCAATTATGTAAAATAAAACATGCAACTTCTCTCGTTCTGAAGGTGTATCATCACACATTCCAGGCTTGCTTGTCGGCTGTCCAAAGAGATTTCTCTGACTTCTCCTTCTCTGCCCCAAGAACTTCCCCTCCTTTGTTCTACCCTCTAATCAAAACCATTAAGGAAAAGAGTTATCATTTATTTTAAGGTTGGAGTTGAATCCAAGGTTTTTTTTTTTTTTCTGTTATGATCTCATATTGGAATCCTTTGTTTTCCAACTGAGATCTTTTACAAGAACTTCCTCCCTCCATAGCAATGTTGGCTCTTGGGTCAACTTGGGGCACCATAGTATGGCGGGGAGAAACATCATCTGGTTCTAGCTTGCAGCCTATCAACAAACAGTGTCTTTTGCTAGTGAGGAAGAGCGCTTGGATTCAGGACTGATAAACTGTAGTTTCACTCAAAACAATGCCAGTGACCCTTATAATTCAAATTTCATTGTGTTTACATTTTCAGCATCATTTTCCCCCTCCAGATGAATGGATAACAGAGTTGATTACAAAATTAATTGGTTGCAGGATTTTACAGACAGTATTTTAAGCCCAGAAGTAAAGCTAATGTGGGGGGCTTCCTGGTGGCGCAAGGGTTAAGACACAATCTATGGAGCTATCCACAGCCACTGCAGCATGAATTCCTGGCCAGCCAGGGAGCAACCCACAGGGTGCAGCATTCCTCTCCTGACTTGCCCGCTGCTCCTTCAGCAGTGTATTTCAGTCAATCTGGCTGTTCTGTTCCCCACTCTTCTCTGGTGAATCCTCTTACCCTGCCCCTCCGCACCTCTGGCCTGTACCCCAGCTCTTGTATGCATAAATATATAAATCTTAAAAAAAAAAAAGAAGTAGAGCTAATGTGAGAAAACAAAGCAAGATTATCTTTTGGTACCAATGCCACTCAGTCAAAGACAGTCCTGGTGTCACTAAACAGATCTGATCCCTCTGCCCTGGCAGGGGAGGGACAGGAGAATCACATAGATAATATCACTGAACCAGCAGTGCACTTGCTTTCATACTGCACTTGATTTCCTTCCAGTCTCTGAAAAACATTCCAAAAGTTACTCCCTACCATCTCTAGACCTCTGTTAGTATTTCTGATCAGGTCTAGGAAACACTGAGTCAACTAAGGATTGTCCATTGGGTTGAAATGAAGTTTAGTCAAGAGAAACCCCTAAGGGCTTCATTGACTTCTAACCTCAGTCTTAGAAATGACTTCTCAGTCACCATAAAGCAATGGTCTATTTAGAGCCCTATATATAAGCAAATTCAAAATAGGCAGGACTGGAAGGAACCGCAGTGGGACAAGGACATGAATGCTGGTGCAGTTGTCACATTTTGTGACCTTCAGGATGTGTTTTGTTTATTTATCATTTTAATCTTTGGGTGAAATGATACTCCTCTCACTTAGAACTGAAGTCAGCAGAGAGGAAGTGCAGTCCCCACTGAACACAAAGTACAGAAACTTCATCCCAAGAAGCTTGGGCTGCTCCCTGCTATGCCTGCAAAACGTCAGCTGCGTTGACAGCACGAGCAGGAGGCTTCCTGTTCAGCAGGGGTTTCACACTCTGCAGACAGCTGCCTTGGCAGGACTTGCAGCCAAAGCAAAATGACCAGGAATTAGCCAGGAAAATATTCATTTCCTTTCAAAAACTGCAAAAACTCTGGTTCTGCCAACAGGTATCTATACCACGGAGAGATGGAGAGAAAAGCCCCAATGAAAGAATTTTTGTTAGCTTTTGACTAGCCCCTCCAATGACTGTTTCATCCGAGTCAGTGGCTGGCTTGTGGTCCACAGATGCCCTGCAGTAGCAGGAGGCAGGAAGGAGGGAGGTGTCCCAGGAAGACCATGGTCCTCACGTTACACTGTGCCCAGAAAGGGTTATGGACATACTCACCAGAGTTTTGTTTTTTTTCTAGACATACAACAGCCACTTCTCCAGCTCCCATGTCTTGAGATGAGCAAACTGGAGATGTATTTCTCTCATTTTACCACAGGGTTTGTTTTTCATTTATTCTTTTACTCAATTTATTTACATAATTTACCGATTGGCTGGATGCATGTCAACAAAATAGCTTTAAAAAAATCCTTGCTCTTGTGGATTTTTATTAAATTATTTCATCCTTGTGACAGCCCTTTGGGGCAGGTACTATTATGATATCCTTTTTATAGGTGACTTTTTCAAAGTCATAAAGCCAGTGTATCGCACTGAAAATCTGCCACCAAAAAATAAGGCTTTTTATAGAAAGGCTGATTTCATGGGAGGAGCTTTGAAGGCTAGGTGAAGGGTTACTTATGAAAAAATATATTTACATATACTTAAAAAATATATTTACATATAAACTTCTGTAAGGGCGTGGGCCAGAAAACCTAAACTTCTGGCCTCTTTTCAGTGGAGAAGGCAGAGTTTGAGAGTTTGATCTGCATACTTTCATCTACTGTGCTTTCCATGTCCCTAATTGACCTTCAGTTTCGCCTCCCCTTTCTCTGTCTTAGTTAAGCTATTTAAGATGGCATCAGAAGTCATGTGGGGAATGACTCGGTCATGCTGGCTATCTCCTATGTGTACAAGAAGTAGATTTGTTATCATCAGACTTCTTTTTGATGTTTTCTTTTATCAACCCCCACTAACGCTGGTTTGTCTATTTCCTAGCCTAGAAGAACCCATTGGAGTACAGGATGATTTCCTGTGCCTCCTGACACCAGTAAATAGCAGAGCTAGGATTTGAACCCAGGTAGACTGGCAGCCCGAGAGTCCACAATCTAAACTGTTGGTTTCTCTGCACTTCCCAGTGAGATAGAAGGATGGGATTTTCAGGTTCAGACAAGTAGCAGTTCAGGAAAAACTATAATTTCTACTCTACAGGTAAAAATCTTTCATTCTATAAGATAGTTGAAGTAAAAAGTATGGCAGATGTTATTATTTAGACAAGTGTATAATTGTGGCTAGATTTCACACTAACGTGTTGAAATATTTTTCCTCTCCTACAATATAAATTGCTAAAAACAGCCTCTTTCTTCCATCGAGTTCTCACAGGCAGAGGAAGGTGTCAAGGAGCTGAGAAACCAGGACATCAAAGGGAATTAGGGAAGATATCACAGGGATGGAAGTGGAGGCACATCAATATCTCTCAGTTCAACATCTAGGGCAGGTGTGCCTAGGATGTGTACCACTAGGACCAATAAATAGGTAAAAATTTGGATTTTATCATTATTTTTATGATATCAATTTGATCACTTCACCCAAATAACTCAAGCCAAAAAGGAATAATATCTAATAGGTTCAAATCATACTGTTCAACAAGAAATGGATTTGTTCTTACTTTGCCAATTGGCTTCTCAATCAGAGAGCTTGTAAAGCAGACTGGAGTTATGCTGCTGTACATTGAAGGTTTCCATTGCCGTTCCTGAAAAAAAGGAAACACACACAGAGATTTCAGGGACTTAGCTGGCTTTCCTGCTGCATGGAGCCATTTTCCAGTTTCTCACAGAGTGCATCAAGCACTTCAATTAAAGGCATGTCACTTGAAATACGCAACTCAGCGTTTTTGCACCATCCTTCAGTTTGCAGTCTTTGCAAACTCATTTAACCTTGTGGAGGGACATCTTACAAAACCGTTTATGACATTTTGAAGCAATTTATATACACATGTTGACATAAATACAGAAAATTTTCAGTTTAAGTTGGCTTCCTAGAACATAAAGACTATGTGAATATTTTTTTTAAATTAACTTCACCAATATCCAATTTCATAAAAACAGTAAGCACAGGTATACTCCTGGTTTTCAAATCTTCTATTCCATATTGAATAATTCCAAACTTCTCTACCTATTTTTCAGAACCCTCCAAAATGTGACTCTTTTTCTAATTTTATGGCTTCAGCTCCATTTTTTCCCCATAATTTAACCTAAACCTCAAGCCACATTTGGCCAATGTGTTTTTCTTGAACAAACTCCAACTTGCTCTTGTTTATGCTATTCTTGATTCTGAAAATATCCTTTCCTTAGTATCTGTCTATGATTTCCTCCTACCTGTCCCATTCAGTTCCCTAAGAAACTTTTCGCTATTTTCCCTTCTGACTAGAGCAAGAATAAATATCTCCCTGCCAGAGTTCATGTACTATTATTAGAATACTTGTCACTGCTGAGAATGTGCGCTACTGAGGAAGGACTCATGCCTTGGTTATCTTCGTGTCCTTCACAATCTCACACAGGTCTCATACATTTTTATGGTTTAAATATTTGTGTTCCTATGAAGTCTGTATATTGAAGTCCTAATCCTCCAGGTGATGGTATTAGGAGGTAGGGCCTTTGGTAAGTGACTGGGTTATGAGAGCAAAGCCCTCATGAATAGGGTTTATATCCTTATCAATGAGAGTCCACAGTGCTTCTTTCACCAAATAAGGAAATAGTGAGAAGCCCACAACTTAGAAGAGGGCTCTCATCTGACAATGTTAGTACCCAGAAATGTGAGAAATAAATTTGTTATTTATAAGCTGCCCAACTTGTGGAATTTTGTTATAGCAGCCCAGGTAGACTAAGACATAATATAAGTAATTTCTTTCTTTTTTGTCAGCTGAAACCTTTTTAATGTGGCCACTGATTTCCAAAACACCAATCTGACTGTACAACTTCAGCTGTAGTTCTCACTACATACATTTTTCACTCTCTTTTCATTCTTTTAGAGGAGATATCAAGAGGCTTGTTACTGGCAAAAGAATAACTGTAAGTACCAATAACCCCATAAAATGAAAATGACCTTTCAAAATGTGTCAACAAATATTGACCCATTCCCACCTCCCAGCATTCATTAATTGGCCTTGTTTCTTGAGTGAAAGGAAGATTTTTCAGTCGTCTTAGCAAAGGAACGGAGAATGGCCCTCTGGAATCTCTACCCCTGCTGTAACTAATTATCTTACCCTTGGCAAATTACTTGTATTTTCGACCAGGGTGGCCCTGCCTGTAAATGTGGTTTGCATTATTTACACACATTTCTCAGACTACGTTGAGACTAATTATAGAGATATCTGTGGCCCAGATAGGCAAAGAATAATTCCCAGGAAACAGACCCTGCAATGGCTTTAGGAAAAGCCATTCAAACCTCCGACTTCTTCCCATGGTCTGAAAACAGAGGTTATCATTGGATTCTGAGAGATGTGGATTTCTGTCTATTAGGAGTTAAACTGAGACAAGGAATTCATTTTGCAGGTCATGTTCCAGTCATCAAAGTTTAATTACTATCAAACCCCACTGGCTCGTGTCCCAAAGATATTAGTGAGTGCATGAATGAAAGTTACAAAGTATCCCATCACCCAGGCCAGCCTTCCAGAGATAAAAAGACAATGAATAGCAGCAGGGAAAAGTCCAAAAGATACAATTTGAGACTGCAACTTCTATAAAATGAAAATAACAGTTTCAGTGTTCGTGATCTGTGCACATGACTCTGTTTTAAGGAAGTCAATCTGCAGACACAGTAGATGAATCTGAGAAACTGTCCTTCCCTGAGGCTGGCCCTGTTGCCATGGCAACATGTAACTAGTTTCCTTTGGTTGTTGTGCAATCTAATTTTCTTTAGACTAAAGATTTCCTTGATACGTCTGCACTGAGTATATTTAAGACTGAAACTTAGTCATTGCAGAACATAGATTTCTTATGTAGAAATTTTAAAAAAATAGCTTCACTAATATCTCATTGTACAAAAATCAATAACCATAGGTCAATTTTTGGCTTTCAAATTTTGAATTTTAATATGATGTTTCTGGATCACACATAAATGGGAATTTTTTAAATAATGGGTTTTCATGACAAACACAGAGTAGTGATAGGCATAGAGTTATTACAAAATAGCATTTTCCTTTCCTTATTTCCCCTCTTCATTTTGAACCTTCTACACAGGATTTTGTTGTTGCTGTTGTTTAGGTGATTGACTGGGGTGGGGGGGTTGTGTTTACTGTTATTCCATAACTTACTCACCATTTGCTAAATGTGGAGATGGGGGTACAGAGGATAGACTTAGACAAAGAAGAATAGTCAAGAATGGGTCCTCCCCTGGTGGCTCAGTGGTTGAGCGCTGGGCTGCGAAGCTGCCCACAGCCTCAGCAGTGCTGGTTCTAAACCCTGGCTGCCGGCGAGGGTCCCACATGGTGCGCAGACCTCTCCTGCTGCACCCGCTGCTCCCTTCAGCAGTGTATTTCATCATTCTGCCTGTTCTGTGGCTCTGGTGGGTTCTCTCACCCTCCCACGCTTCTGACTGTACCCAGTGCTTGTATGAATAAATAAATAAATCTTTAAAAAAAAATTAAAGAATGGTTGCTGAAGTCTCAGGCAAATAAGTCATCCTCTCCAGCTTTCTGCAAAATGAAGGCAATTATTACCCCTTTTTCTTCATCCCACAAAAACTTCAGGCACTCCTGAGAAGCCAAGAATTGCTCAGAGTTCTCCACATGACAGATACCTGGCGTTACTTTTCTAGGACTGGATTCCTAAAAGGAGGCCAAAGAAATGGTTGAAGGCTTGGCTGTAATTACAACCTTCAGTGTTTATCCTGGTGCCTGAAATATAGAGTAACTTCTGGTGCAAAAGGACAGAAATAATCTTGGCTGGTAAGAAGGAAGGACACAGGGATCATCTGTCAGGCTCAGTTGATTGAGCAGCAGGACCAATCCAGATGGCATCTGCTTAAGGGTGCATCACTGGGCACCCCAAAAGGTCCTAATAATGCTGAAGAAAATCACACTCAAAAATCCTGATTTTATATTCCACAAAAGACATGAACATCAGGGTCCATCAAGTACCCATCCTGTTTCCCCACAATCTGGGACTAAGAACAATGAGTTCTATTTTGAGGAAGAAGTAGATTCTACCTTAAAAATGGTCATCCCTCTAGCAATTATTTATCTATAAAAAGAACTGCACCTTGCATCCTGAGTGCTTTTTAAAGAACTATAAACACAGTACTTTAGCTATCCTCACAAGCCATTTCTAGGATCTAGGATGTTGAAGGAACTGGGACATTTCAGACACTCAGTGGGAGCCAAGGAAGGAGAAAATTTCTGTAAAGGACACGAAAGAGATAATGGCCATTGTTCTGGCCCCTCCTCTCCCTGGTCCCCAACCTGCTGGCTGAGGCCCATCAACATGGACTTGGGTCCTCCCACCCACCCCAGCTAGAGTTCCTTCCTTGGAAGGGTCAAGCATACAGATGCAGAGGTGAGGTGGCCTTGGGAAGGGAGGAGACCTGGGTGGAGGGCCATTAAATGTTGACTCACTCAGGCTTGACCAGACTTCCTCCCTTTTTCCACACTCGAATACAATTTTGGTGAACTTAAGTAAACTATGCATACTGCTAAGTTTTCCTACTTCCTTTTAGGTTATTATCACAGACCCACACCAGCTCCGGTATGTGAAAATCCCCGACCCTCAAAACTCAGGCAGGGAGAGGGTCACAGGAGAGAACACACAAACGTTTCAGTTTTTTAAGTTTTCTGGGTAGAATTCTGCCAGCGGCTGACCTGCTTGTACATTCTTCAGCATCTCCCTCAGCACCTATTTCCCTTAAATGCTCCGCTAAATTTTTGCCTTTAAATTTCTATGTCTTGGATGTTTCACATGCTGATTTTTAAAGTGCCCCTTGTGCTTTTTCCTTCCTTCCCTGTGTTTTATGCATCTTTAATACCACCTGTACCTACCACAAGGCTACCATTCCGAAGAACATTAAAATAAGTACTGTCGAAACACTCAACAACATTAATGGGATTTTTGAAAGGAGGCACATTTCCTTCATTGTACTCTGGGGTTTCTGAGTTTCCTGCCTGCCTTTATCCAAATGCATAATATTTAGCTTCAATACCATTTTGCATCACGTTTCAATACATTTTCCACTTAGCATTACAAGTTACGTAGTTTCTGCATTGTTATATAGCCTGGATTTATAATATGGAGTGACTACATAATTTTCTATCAACAGCATACAGCATAATGTATTTGATAGCTTGACAGATATTTTGATTATTCCATTTTCCCTATATATTTTTGAGATTTTAAACAGTTTTATTGATATAATTCACATTCCATCCCTTCACCCATTTAAAGGGCATAATTCAATGCCTCTTCATATACTCACAGGGTATTAAAGTAATCATCCCAATCTCATTTTAGAATTTTTTTAATCTCCTGCCAAAAAAACACCCTTTACCTATTAGCAGTCATTAACATCCTTCCTGTCCCATCCCACAGCCCTAACCAACCATTAGTTTACTTTATATCTCTACATTTTTGTCTATTCTGGACATTTTATATAAATGAAATAGCACAATATGTGAACTTCGTGACTTTTACTTAGCATGTTTTTCAAAATCATCCATGCTATCATTACTTCATGATTCCTCATTGGCAAAAGTAGCCCACA